AATATCATGCTGCCACCAGCGTTACGTACGACTGGTCCGAAAATTGACATTTCCTCCAGAGCACAAACTGCATCATAGATTTAAGACGAATTAGATCTAAAATATATCACAAACGGGAACATCATTCATTAAATCCATTCAAGAGCATACTTCAAAATATATACTTAAACGTCTCACAAAATTGCAAAGGACTGGCATGTACCAGTGTGACGTACGACTGGTCGGAAAATTGACATTTTGTCAAGAGCGCAACTTGCATAAGTGATTTAAGACGAATTGGATATTATATATCCCCCTAACAGAGAAGTCAATCGATACACCCCTCCTTTGGCAAACATAAAAATATATACATAAACGTCTCACAATATATCAAACTAGTCACTGCTACCAGTGCGATGTACAGCTGGTCAGAAAATTGACATTCCGTACATAGCCCAAATTAAATCAGACTTGTATGACAAATTAGATGCTCAATATCTCACGAATAGAATGACCAATCAACAAGTACTCGGTAGGCCAAACGTAAAAATGTATCCTGAAACATCTCAATAAATAACAAATATCATGCTGCCACTAGCGTTACGTAAGACTGGTCCGAAAATTGACATTTCCTCCAGAGCACAAACTGCATCATAGATTTAACACGAATTAGATCTAAAATATATCACGAACGGGAACATCATTCATTAAATCCATTCAAGAGCATACTCCAAAATATATACTTAAACGTCTCACAAAATTGCAAAGGACTGGCATGTACCAGTGTGACGTACAACTGGTCGGAAAATTGACATTTCGTCAAGAGCGCAAATTGCATAAGCGATTTAAGACGAATTGGATATTATATATCCCCCTAACAGAGATGTCAATCGATACATCCATCCTTTGACAAACGAAAAAATATAAACATAAACGTCTCACAATATATCAAACTAGTCGCTGCTACCAGTGCGATGTACAGCTGGTCCGAAAATTGACATTCCGTACATAGCCCAAAGTAAATCAGACGTTTATGACAAATAAGATACTCAATATCTCACGAATAGAATGACCAATCAACAAGTCCTCGGTAGGGCAAATGTAAAAACGTATCCTGAAACATCTCACTAAATAACAAATATCATGCTGCCACCAGCGTTACGTACGACTGGGCCGAAAATTGACATTTCCTCCAGAGCACAAACTGCATCATAGATTTAAGACGAATTAGATATAAAATATATCACGAACGGGAACTTCATTCATTAAATCCATTCAAGAGCATACTCCAAAATATATACTTAAACGTCTCACAAAATTGCAAAGGACTGGCACGTACCAGTGTGACGTACGACTGGTCGGAAAATTGACATTTCGTCAAGAGCTCAAATTGCATAAGCGATTCAAGACGATTTGGATATTATATATCCCCCTAACAGAGAAGTCAATCGATACATCCCTCCTTTGGCAAACGTAAAAATATATACATAAACGTCTCACAATATATCAAACTAGTCGCTGCTGCAGTGCGATGTACAGCTGGTCCGAAAATTGACATTCCGTACATAGACCAAAGTAAATCAGACTTGTATGACAAATTAGATACTCAATATCTCACGAATAGAATGACCAATCAACAAGTCCTCGGTAGGGCAAATGTAAAAATGTATCCTGAAACATCTCACTAAATAACAAATATTATGCTGCCACCAGCGTTACGTACGACTGGTCCGAAAATTGACATTTCCTCCAGAGCACAAACTGCATCATAGATTTAAGACGAATTTGATATAAAATATATCACGAACGGGAACATCATTCATTAAATCCATTCAAGAACAAACTCCAAAATATATACTTAAACGTCTCACAAAATTGCAAAGGACTGGCATGTACCAGTGTGACGTACGACTGGTCGGAAAATTGACATTTCGTCAAGAGCGCAAATTGCATAAGCGATTTAGACGAATTGGATATTATATATCTCCCTAATAGAAAAGACAATCGACACATCCATCACATGGCAAACGTAAAAAATATATAAATAAACGTCTCACAAAATATAAAACTAGTCGCTGCTACCAGTGCGATGTACAGCTGGTCCGAAAATTGACATTCCGTACATAGCCAAAAGTAAAATAGACTTGTATGACAAATTAGATACTCAATATCTCACGAATAGAATGACCAATCAACAAGTCCACAGTAGGGCAAACGTGAAAATGTATCCTTAAACATCTCACTAATTAGCAAATATCATACTGCCACCAGCGTTACGTACGACTGGTCCGAAAATTGACATTTCCTCCAGAGCACAAACTGCATCATAGATTTAGTACGAATTAGATATAAAATATATCACGAACGGGAACATCATTCGTTAAATCCATTCAAGAGCATACTCCAAAGTATATACTTAAACGTCTCACAAAATTGCAAAAGACTGCCCAGTAGCAATGCGACGATCGACTGGTCGGAAATTGACATTTCGTATAGAGTGCAAACTGCATAAGCGATTGACGAAGAATTGGATATTATATATCTCCCTAACAGAAAAGTCAATGAATACATCCATCCTTTGGCAAACGTACAAAATATACATAAACGTCTCACAAAATATCAAACTAGTCACTGCTACCAGTGCGATGTACAACTGGTCCGAAAATTGACATTCGGTACAGAGTGCAAAGTAAATCAGAGCTTTATGACAAATATAATACTCAATATCTTACGAAAAGAATTACCACTCAACAAGTCCTTGGTAGGGCAAATGCAAAAATATATCCTTTAACGTCTCGCAAGTTAACAACCAACATGCTGCTACCAGCGTAACGTAGTACCGGTGTGAAAGAAATGATGGTCCCCCAGGGATTATGGTCCCCTTTGTTAACGGCCCTTACTGTCCCCGATTGCGTATTAGGTAATGAGGGAAAGCGTTGTATTTAGGTCACCATATAAGTCAATGGAGAGTAGGACCATAATTTGATAGGACCTCCTACCCTTTTACACCGGTCCGAAAATTGACATTTAGTCTAGAGCGCAAACTGTATCAGCGATATCAGACAAATTAGATATAGAATATTTCACGACCAGAAACATCAGTCATTAAATCGTTCGCAAGGAAATCGTAGAAATTTATACTGAAACGTCTCAAAAATCAGCAAAGGACTAGTTAGTAAAAGCGTGGCGTACGACTGCTCAGAAAATTGACATTTCGTCTAGAGTGAAATGAAAATCAGAGCTTTATGACATATTAGATACTCAATATCTCACGAATAGAATTACCACTCAACAATTCCTTGGTGGACCAAATGCAAAAATATATCCTTTGACGTCCCTCAAATTAACAACCAAGATGCTGCTACCAGCGTGGCGTTACACCAGTCCGAAAATTGACATTTCGTCTATAGCGCAATTTAAATCAGAGCTTAACGACAAATCCTTCAAATTAAATACTCTATATCTGACGAACAGAATGACCAATCAACAAGTCCTCGGTAGGGCAAATGTAAAAATGTATCATTAAACATCTCACTAATTAGCAAATATCATGCTGCCACCAGCGTTACGTATGACTGGTCCGAAAATTGACATTTCCTCCAGAGCACGAACTGCATCAGAGATTTAAGACGAATAAGATATAAAATATATCAAGAACGGGAATATCATTCATTAAATCCATTCAAGAGCATACTCCAAAGTATAAAGTATATACTTAAACGTCTCACAAAATTGCAAAGGACTGGCTAGTAGCAGTATGACGTACGACTGGTCGGAAAATTGACATTTCGTCTAGAGCGCAAACTGCATAAGCGATTTAAGACGAATTGGATATTATATATATCATGCTGCTACCAGCACTACGTACAACTGGTCCGAAAATTGACATTTCGTCCAGAGCACAAACAGCATCAGAGATTTAAGACGAATTAGATAATAAAATATATCACAAACGGGAATATCATTTATTAAATCCATTCAAGAGCATACTCCTAAATATATACTTAAACGTCTCACAAAATTGCAAAGGACTGGCTAGTAGCAGTGTGACGTACGACTGGTCGGACGGAAAATTGACATGGCAAACGTAAAAAAATAAGATACATAATGGTATAATTTTTTCTATATTGTTTTAGAAAACACATCAGACATTTCTTTTGTTCTTGGTATCATACATTCGTAATAAATTGAAACATCTATCCGAACCTCATTGGAACAAAACGACATAAACACAATATTCTAATTGTACAAAGGAAAGCTTGGTTGATTTTAAAATCTTGTTAATGAAATAAAAGGTTTATCTTAATTTTTATCTATTTTTGGAGGTTTTGTCTTTGCATACAATTTGTTAAATCAACCAAAATTTCTTTTGTATAGCTATAATATTGAGAGGTCTAAGAGAATGTTGTATATGCTACTTTGTTCCAACAAGGTTCGGAAAGACATTTTATTTAATTCTCAAGAATTGGTAGAAAGGAACAAAAAAATCCACTAATAAACAAAAATGTTAACAAAAACAGTTATATGAAATATATATAAATAGTTTTTGCATTAAAGTGTTACCAGTCAGTCAACATTACATAAAGGACAATGTTTTTTTACAGAATGTTTTCAATAATTGGTTTAAAGTGTGCGCCAAAGTTTAAAACTACGCAGGCGCACCGCTCTCGCTAAACTATATAAAGAGATTACCAGGTGCACGATTCAGAGGTGAGCCAGGAAGGCGAACGATCTTCGTCTCGTGATGATTTCCCATATAATCGTAACCAGGGAAGTTTCACCATTGAAATTGAAAATTACTATTAGTTATACTTTGTAGATGTTATTTATGAAGCTATTTAGTGTTTGCATCAATCAAATGGCTCATTTTGAACATATAAAAAGTATTTGTGTTTTGTTTCCCAGGGAATTGTATTGTATGTAGTACACACATAAATAGTGTACATTATACAGTACTTGAATAGCCTGGTTTACATAATATTGAAGGGCATGCTGATTACATGCACACGAGTACATGAATGAAGGCCTAATATTGATATACGTAGCTTGCATACCTAAATAAAAAATAAACTCTTCTAATCCCCTAATGTAAACACGGCGGTATACGTAGCCCGATTTATCGGGGACTTTAAGAGAAAAACATTGTTGAATTCAGTTCACCATATCGATACCTATCTATCTATCCTTTCTTTAAATTAGGCCTACGTTCAATTTTAGTAAAAATTAGGATCGATTCCCGTAGAAACGATGGGTTGGCAGGTCAGGAACTTAAGTGTTTGCTTGCCTTTCGTTTTAACCATTTCAACTTAATTGAAAATAACAAAATGGGTAAAAAACGTTGCCTATGAATGACATGTATTAAAATTCGAATTAATTAAATAATTCAAGGCTACAAATATGGTCGCTCTTTTACACATTTTCACCTGTTTTAAGACTACCTGTGTAAAACGCCGACCGGTCGGTGGTCGGTAGGGTCGGTATTTTTCGTAAACCCCTTTCCCATAGTTCATTGTTGGTAAATATGAACAAATCCTAAGTCAGCATTGTTGTTATGTTTGAAAATATAGTGGTCGTCTCCATGGTAACATTACATATTGGCATTGTTGTGTTAGGAAAAGGTCCTGTACCATCCCATGGTACACATAACATAGTCAATTCCTCCGGGTATTTGACAACAAGTCTAATGAGCACTCCTATACCGACTATAAACAGACATATAAGCACTGTTATCCCTCTTCGACACAACAATTCAGCGTTCGTGAGTTCACCAGTGTGTTCAAGTTTTTCTAAATCAATTGGTGCATTCTCTAGAGTATATGAGTTTGCAAATTGTTTCTTTAGTCTGCTGGACTTCGTGGATAAGGTGGAGATGCTTGACCTTGTGAACATGGTGGAGTTGTCATCACTCTGCCCAAAACCTCTTTCTTTGTTATTATTGATAAGTGCTGCAATAAGAAATGCAATGATAAAATCAATTCCATTTTAAGTAGTTTGAATGCAAAAATATACATCTTTTGATCAACTCTTGATCTTACTTACTTTGTCTAATATTCCTCCCCATTAATCTCGATTTAATTGAAGTTTTGTGCTGGCTCATATTTTTCTATTTGAAAACACAATGCCAACTTTTTACAGATCATAATTTAGGATATTGATTATGTGCTCTTTCCACTTTTGGCATTGCGCCACTTTCTTAAACATGATATTTACCTGTAGTTTCAGATGCTTTACTGGTGTCTAATATCATTGTCTGATTAAACATCGAGTCATCTCCCATCACCCCAGCTCTTTCCTGGGCCTATAATAAAAATGTTTCAAACAAATACCAAAGTAATGTCAATACAGGTTAAAATAATCACTTCTTACAATTTTATAGTAATCTAAAATACTCTCAAAATAAAAAAAACGACCATATTTCCTAGATATGCCATGGTATTGGCATATCAATAAACCTCAAAATTTGGAATAAGAACTGCAACTGAGAACATACGGAAGGTGACAAACCTATTCTGAACTAAATATAGGCTGAGACCATTTGAGAGAAATCTATGGAAACATACTGGTGACGTATTCCAAACAATTAACAAACAAATTTTATACATGTTAAAGTCGGCCAGTAGATTGAAGATACTGAACTTACTCAAAAATAAAATATAATCAAACTTATAAAAGAATCTTGACAAAATGATATGATGAACACCCTACCAACCTGTTTTGATGCTTTTTCCCAGTCTGTGAAGCATACAATTAAGACTAAAGTACTGGACACAATAATGAGACCAAGAGAATATCCCCACCAAAGACCTACAACACAAGCACAAAAATAAGTTAAATTTCTCGAAAAGGAAAGAATCACTAGCAACATGAAAGAATGACATTTACCTGCGGCCCTTAAATCAGTAAGGAACATGAGTGGTATTCCTACAGGTAGAGCTATGATATAGTAGCCTACAAAGACTGCTATTGCCCCTGCTAACTGTCTCCCAGACCCCCTGATAGCTCCCTCTGCCACAGCCTGAAACAAATATTCATTCATGAAAATCGCTGTATTCATGTATATGTCCAGTTCGGCTTTGTATAAAAAACCTCCTACCTCATACCCACCTACCCACCTACGTGGAACATGAAACAGTCATTGAAGGGTTCAATTTTAAAGATTATTAAATCTCGAAAATAGCTCAAATTATTTAACATTTCTACAATTCCGCTTTATTTTATGACTAGAGAGATGAGGGATCCATAAATAAATGTATATGGATGCATTTTAATGTGTTATGACCCGAGGGCGCCCCAGGGGAATAAATAACTAACGACCGCGAGCGTAGGTCCAACAAGCCAGATAAAGAAATTGAAAGAAAGTGTGCTAAATTCGATGCCCCGAGTGGGAATCGAACCCAGCTGGGATGAGTAGCAACTTGCTATTAAGGGTCATTACAGTAAGTAAGTAAGGTATTTATTAGAGTGGGCTTATCAGAGACTTAAAGATCGAATAGTTCTATGAGTATAAAATGTCTAAAAATGTAAATCTAATATTGCACCTTGTATTATATTACAGTTCATAGCATCTTCGTGTTATCATGATTTTATTTATTGTTTTCGCTATTAGTCTTTGTACTGATATAGTGTTCATCATTGTGCAATATTTGCCCATGCTCGATAAGTTGATTGTTAAAGTCCGGTATTTGAAGAGCACATGCTTTTATAAGGGTTTGTCTATTGTCATCGTGTAGGGGGCAGTCAATTAGGATATGGATTTCGTCTTCAACACTTTGGTTGCATAAGCATACTCTGTCGTGTAATTCGACACCTGTGAATCGCATCTATAATTCATCATAAACTAAGATTTAATAAACTAAGATCTTTAAAATTGAAACCTTCAAAGACTGTATCATGTCCCACGTACGTGGGTAGTTGGGTATGAGGTAGGAGATTTTTTATACAAAGCCTCCAGTTTACAAATAAATTATGAAGTTGGAAACTCTGGAGTATGATCATACGTTCATATACATGCGTAGGCACCACAGTTCAACGATATATATCCTCTACCGCACAAGCACGCGGTACTTACTCAACGGGGCGTAGCGAAACCAAAACGCCCCGCAAAACCGTTAATTTGAATTTTAAACATACCCTTTCTTTGGAAAATCAATGATTGTGAGTCTCACAGTAAACCGTTTTTCTTCAAACTTGTTCCATAAAAACCTTCACAGAAATACCTTTCAGTCGGGACATTGCATTTGTTTACAAAGTCACTCGTTTTAGCAGCGTTTTGGTCCCCAGGTGTGAGAAGATGCAAATCTTCAGAGATTTCAACCAAAAGCCTCGATATATCGCCAGTTCTTATATTATTCTCCCCTATATTTTGCACAAGGACTCCTATTAGAACCCTCCATCTCTGCATCAACATATTTATTACATTAAACGCAGCAATTTCCAAAAGTCCTACGCATCTGTTCGAAATTGATCAAAACATCCCGTTCTCTTCCAAAACGCCCCGTTGGATCTATACACCTTGAAACTACACATTTGTAGTCATAGACTCTGCGGGGCATTTTGGAAGACAACGGGGCGTTTTGGTCAATTTCGAACAGTTGCGTAGGACTTTTCAGAATTGCTGCGTTTCATGTAATAAACATGTTGATGCAACGATGGAGGGTTGTAATGGGAGTCCTTACGCAGAATATGGGGAAGAGTGATAGAAGAACTGGCGAGATGTCAAGGATTGTGGTTGAAATCTCTGAGGATTTGCAACTTCTCACATCTGCGGACCAAAACGCCGCTAAAACGAGGGACTTTGTAAACAAAAGCAATGTCCCGACTGAAAGATTTCTGTGAAGGTTTTAATGGAACAAGTTTGAAAAAAAAACGATGTAGTGTGAGACTCACAATCATTGATTTTCCCAAGACAGGGTAGATTTGAAATTCAAATTAACGGTTTTGCGTGGCGTTTTGGTTTCGATGCGCCCCGGTTAGTTAGTATCGCGTGACAAGGGAAGGTAACTGGTACTTTGGTTTAACAGATGAAAAGATAACTGATATTCGTTAGCCTATCATGGTTATGAGAGTTTATTTGGAGAGCCAAGATGTCCAGTTCGCGCGGATTGAAAACCAATATTTATCTTTTATAATACATGACTGTACCTTTCATTTCCAGTTACCTTCCTATAAGCGGTGGAAGATATCGTTGAATTGAGGCGCCTAGCTACGCATGATATACTTCCCATGTGATATAAGTCTTAATTTGGTTCAAATATCAAAACATAACGTCAGCAAAATTAAAAAGAAATATATAGTTAATTCGATGAAAACTAAAAATATTGGAATCGACAATTACCGTCCGCAATCTTAGATGCGGAAGTTAAGTCATTACCTTCGCCTAATACTGACTGTTGATACCACACTTTATATATACAAAAAGACCTGTGTACAGTGAACACTTATTGAGCTACAAAACTGTGTTAGTGAGGCTAGGTGATCACTCCAGAAAGGTGATTAATACGAATTAATAGAAAATGTTATTTGTCCAAGATATTTCGTTTTTGTGATTTTGTAACATGGGGTCTATGGGGAATCAATGCAAACTAGAAGTCACGTTTAAAAGATAAAAATTAAAGATTTGAAATATCACATCATTTTGACTGACTTTTGAATATTTAATGACGTAAATAAAAAAAAAGATTATTCCTACTAGTCTATTGCATTCATCATTACTTACCCCATTGCCACTAAAGAACTGATAAAGGGAAATAATTGGCAACACGTTGGCAGTTATCTCTACTACTTCACTGAAAATAACAGATTAAGAATAAGTCAAAACATAAAGTAACACCTCGTATTTTCTTCAAAATAGATAAGCTAACGAGTATTGATCTAAGGAACTCATATTTCAGCTAGTTGAGTTTTGTAATGTGCGAATTATAATGACAGTATGTCTGTGTCATTATTCTTACTCTATACTTTTCTTTGATTTGTATTTCATTAGCATATCAAATGAGTGCATGTTATTTATAAAATATATTCCATTAAATAATAAAATATCTTACTAATCGTCAGTGAATGCCCTCGGGATGTAGTTTCGAAGAGTAACAAAGATTATAGCCAACAATATGGAGCTAACACCTAAAAACAATTGATAAATAAGTTAATATCTTAGTGTGGTTGAAATTTTCTCAATATTTTCTTTTATTCAAGTGATGTCTCAGATGTCAGGAGACCAATTTCATTTTGATCAATCGCTTTGGACATGACGCACGTGAAATTGCAATTTGTTCATAATGAAAATAACAAAAACACACTTAACATCGTCGTCTTTAAAACCACGTCATCATCTTTTTGAAGATATTCGATATAGTTATTTAGTTAATTATAATCGTTAATTAAAGTCACACACATATTATGCAATTAAAATACATAAAATAAAATACAATTCAACAAAAATGTCCGTTGACGACTAATGAGTGACTAAATGCGTCTTCTACGCTATATCTTTAAACATATACATTTTGCTTCAATAAACTGTTACAAGAATTCATTATATTACAATATTGAGCTAAAGTATTACACTTCAAAAACTCTTTGTAATATTCAAGATGTATAACATTTCAAAATATACATAGAAATATGTAATTTTCATTAAATAAAGGCCTACGTTGAATTTCAAAGAAATAAGGATAGATTTCCAAACGATAGGTTGGCAGCCTTTATTGTTTGCTTGGCTTTCGTTTTAACTATTTCAAGAAAAGAAAGAACAAAATGGGGAACCGTGCCTACGGTATGTTTTAAATGTAAAACAGGTTAATATAGGACATTGATTAAGCTAGAAATGTAAATATAAAAAAAAATTATGACAGCCATCTTGAAAAAAGGCTGCCTTTGCACGTCATTTTACAGCCTAACAGCAGAATCCGTATAGGGCCTACTGTATTCGAATACCTAATCCATACAGTTCCTAACAGTAAAACCTGTATACAGCATCCGAACACCTAATCCGTACACTTCATAACAGCCTGACAGTAGAACCTGTATACAGCATCCGAACACCTAATCCATACACTTCCTAACAGCCTGACAGTAGAACCTGTATACAGCATCCGAACACCTAATCCATACACTTCCTAACAGCCTGACAGTAGAACCTGTATACAGCATCCGAACACCTAATCCGTACACTTCCTAACAGCCTGACAGTAGAACCTGTATACAGCATCCGAACACCTAATCCATACACTTCCTAACAGCCTGACAGTAGAACCTGTATACAGCATCCGAACACCTAATCCGTACACTTCCTAACAGCCTGACAGTAGAACCTGTATACAGCATCCGAACACCTAATCCATACACTTCCTAAGCGCCTGACAGTAGAACCTGTATACAGCATCCGAACACCTAATCCGTACACTTCCTAACAGCCTGATAGTAGAACCTGTATACAGAATCCGAACACCTAATCCGTACACTTCTTAACAGCCTGACGTTAGAAGCTGTATACAGCATCCGAACACCTAATCCATACACTTCCTAACAGCCTGACAGTAGAACCTGTATACAGCATCCGAACACCTAATCCGTACACTTCCTAACAGCCTGACAGTAGAACCTGTATACAGCATCCGAACACCTAATCCGTACACTTCCTAACAGCCTGACAGTAGAACCTGTATACAGCATCCGAACACCTAATCCGTACACTTCCTAACAGCCTGACAGTAGAACCTGTATACAGCATCCGAACACCTAATCCGTACACTTCCTAACAGCCTGACAGTAGAACCTGTATACAGCATCCGAACACCTAATCCGTACACTTCCTAACAGCCTGACAGTAGAACCTGTATACAGCATCCGAACACCTAATCCGTACACTTCCTAACAGCCTGACAGTAGAACCTGTATACAGCATCCGAACACCTAATCCGTACACTTCCTAACAGCCTGACAGTAGAACCTGTATACAGCATCCGAACACCTAATCCGTACACTTCCTAACAGCCTGACAGTAGAACCTGTATACAGCATCCGAACACCTAATCCGTACACTTCTTAACAGCCTGATAGTAAAACCTGTATACAGCATCCGAACACCTAATCCGTACACTTCCTAACAGCCTGACAGTAGAACCTGTATACAGCATCCGAACACCTAATCCGTACACTTCCTAACAGCCTGACAGTAGAACCTGTATACAGCATCCGAACACCTAATCCGTACACTTCTTAACAGCCTGACAGTAGAACCTGTATACAGCATCCGAACACCTAATCCATACACTTCCTAAGCGCCTGACAGTAGAACCTGTATACAGCATCCGAACACCTAATCCATACACTTCTTAACAGCCTGACAGTAGAACCTGTATACTGTATCCGAACACCTAATCCGTACACTTCCTAACAGCCTGACAGTAGAACCTGTATACAGCATCCGAACACCTAATCCGTACACTTCTTAACAGCCTGACAGTAGAACCTGTATACTGTATCCGAACACCTAATCCGTACACTTCCTAACAGCCTGACAGTAGAACCTGTATACAGCATCCGAACACCTAATCCGTACACTTCTTAACAGCCTGACAGTAGAACCTGTATACTGTATCCGAACACCTAATCCGTACACTTCCTAACAGCCTGACAGTAGAACCTGTATACAGCATCCGAACACCTAATCCATACACTTCCTAACAGCCTGACAGTAGAACCTGTATACAGCATCCGAACACCTAATCCGTACACTTCCTAACAGCCTGACAGTAGAACCTGTATACAGCATCCGAACACCTAATCCGTACACTTCTTAACAGCCTGACAGTAGAACCTGTATACAGCATCCGAACACCTAATCCATACACGTCCTAACAGCCTGACAGTAGAACCTGTATACAGCATCCGAACACCTAATCCATACACTTCCTAAGCGCCTGACAGTAGAACCTGTATACAGCATCCGAACACCTAATCTGTACACTTCCAAACAGTCTGACAGTAGATTAGGTCTGGAGAAAATTTCTCAGAAAATGTATTAAGAAGGAAAATGTATTAAGAAGCCTTTCTTCATGAAGTCAATATCCTCCACCCCCAATATAAACCCCAAAATTTAGTATAGTATTATTCACCCTGTGCCTTGTTCTAGTTTTTATTGCATGTAAATAGTGAACAAGGGGTCTAGAACTCCTACAAAAGTAGAATGGATTGAAAATCTAGTTCTGGGGATGTCAAAATGGAATGGAAAAATAACATAGTTTTTAACTTTATCGCATTCAATCCCCATTCCCTTTTCAGAAGTTGTTCATAAAGTGTAGAAGAAGTTTTTGATATATATACTTTGAGAAGAACAAGATCTTTTGGGCCTAATTTTTTTAGTTTTAGGGGCTAACTTTTTTTGAACTTTTATTCAGACTTGAAATGTGCTCCCCGCTTAACAGCTCAATGGCTTCCGAATCTACCAGTGACTCCTATTTGAAAAATTTACATGTTTAATAAATTAGAACACTTTTCGGATTTCTCACAAAATTGGTTTATTCCTCCTACATCTGTACATCCTCTTAGTCTAACATTTTCATGATTGACAATTAATAGTTTCATTTGCAGATTACAAGTTCTTATTTCTTGTTTTGTATTTCCAGCTAAATTCCACAAAACTAATGTTTGGAACCAAGTTACGCAAGTTTATTTTGTACTCATACCTCAATTCATTTTTACTTTCTTCTTTTTGTTCCATATTTCAATAATGGTAGAAGACAAAAAATCTAAATTTAAAATTGGGATGATGGTTGATTGAAATCAAGATTTATCAGTGCAATCACTAGTGAAAATGTACAGATTTTATATTTTATTTTGTTTATCTTTTGTGTATATAATTTTACAAAAAGTATGACGAAATGATTCGGTTCACTTCAAATATTTGACTTTTTGTGACGGTGGTCTTGAGTTTGAAATCTATTGAAAATTGTTTAAAATTCGGATAGATGGCGGAAAAGTCGGTCATATCTTTTTATTTCAATGGCCTTTCTTATCAAAAACATTTTCAGTTTTAAAGGGGACATATGGAGCTATCTCGTGGTATATGGGGTTATGTACCGAAAATCTTCGTTTTTTCATAATCAATCCAAAGATTTCAATATTTTCCCGTTGGATTACATTAGAGCATTTCGGTCTGTGGAATTGTCCCATAGGGTTTAAAGAGGCAGATAAGTGAGTGTGCCAAAAATGTACTCATAATAAAGATGTAGTGTACTTTACACATACAAAGAATAATAGTTTACTTGATTACTGACTGTGTGGTCTAACAGACTAGATGCAAGTAGAAATGGCCTTGGTTTTCATCATTTAAATATTCACAACTCATTTAAAGAAATATCGTACTAGTATTTGAAATGTATATATAAATGTGGTTTTAAAGATTGTTATTTGACTTTAAATTTTTAATCTGTATTGTACATAAGGTCTAGGCCAAATTGCTCTCATTCCTTTTACTGGTTTACTGGACATGCTTTTTGTATATCTATATAGGCCTAATTATTAATCTCAAGACTATAAGTTATTGAACGATTTGAAGTGCAATATAGGATATATTCTGTTCGAGAAATTTTGTATTGGAACGACACGATGTCGAGTGCCAATACAGAATATCAGGGGGGGGCTGGCCTTATTTTTTAATTTCAGTCAGGCCAAATTTTGAAGAAAATGGGCCTCAAAATTTCAAAATGTGGGCCCACTTTTGGGTTTTAGGGGCCCAAAATGTTTTTCTCTGACCTGAAATTTGCCCCCCCCCCCTTATTGGTTCCCAGATCCGCCCCTGCTCCGTACCAATATTTTCTGTATTGCGACGGAGATGATCAACGGGGACAACCTCAGTAGCAATACAGATTGGTACAGCACAAGAACTGACCAATCAGAGGGCTTCATTTGATCACAAATCATACTATAAAAAGGTTATCATATAAAAACTGAAAACTGTGAACTAACTACTACTTGCATCTACTCTACAATTCAAAGTTAACTGGTCCAAAGTTGCCTCTGGCGATTCTGCTATTGTAAACACCCGGTGTAAACATCGACCTTATCTGCAGGTGGCTCTTCTTTGCTTAGGGTTCTTGGTGTATTAAAGCTTGTCACCA